AGTGTGAGGCCTCCCACTTTGTTCTTCTTCTTCACTAATGCTTTACTTATTTGGGGCCTCTGCACTTTCCATACAGTGGTGATTTGTTTCTCCATCTCATTGAAAAATGCCAGTGGAATCTGGATCGTGATTGCATTGTATCTGTAGATTGCTTTGGGTAGAAGTGACATTTTCACAATGTTGAGTCTACTTATCCATGAGCAAGGAATGTTTTTCCACTTATGCAAGTTTCTTGCAGTAGTGTCTTGTAGTTTTCATTGTATAGGTCTTTTACGTCTCTGGTTAGATTTATTGCTAAGTATTTTATCTTCTTGGGGGCTACTGTAAATGATATTGATTTGGTGATTTCCTCTTCGAGGTTCTCTTTGTTAGTTTAAAGGAATCCAACTGATTTTTGTATGTTTATCTTGTATCCTGAAACTGCTGAAATCTTCTATTAATTCCAGCAGTTTTTTATGGATTCGTTGGGGTTTTCTGTGTATAAGATCATATCATCTGCAAACAGAGATACTTTGACTTCTTCCCTACCAATCTGGATATGTTTCTTTTTCTTGCCTAATTGCTCTGGCTAGAACCTCCAGCACAATGTTGAATAAGAGTGGTGATAAAGGGCATCCTTTTCTGGTGCCCATTCTCAAGGGGAATGCTTTCAAAGTATCTCCATTTAGGATGATGTTGGCTGTTGGCTTTGTATAAATGCCTTTAAGTATACTGAGGAATTTCCCTTCTATTCCTATTTTGTTGTTTTTATCATGAACCAACATTGGACTTTGTCAAATGCCTTTTCTGCATCGATTGATAAGATCATGTGGTTCTGGTCTTTTGTTTTATTTATGTGATGGATTACACTTGTTGTTTTTCTAATGTTGAACCATCCCTGCATACCTGGTATAAATCCCACCTGATCATGGTAAATTATTATTTTGATATGTTGCTGAATGCTACTGGCTAGAATTTTGTTGAGGATTTTTGCATCAACGTTCATGAGGGATATTGGTCTGTAATTTTCTTTTTTTGTGGTGTCTTTACCTGGTTTTGGTATCAGGGTTATGCTCTGAAATACCTTTAACGGTAGTGGTGTTAACTCTTCTCTGAAAGTTTGGTAGAATTCTCCAGTGAAGCCATCCGGGCCAGGGCTTTTTTTTGTTGGGAGTTTTCTAATTACCTTTTCAATGTCTTCTTTTGTTATGGGTTTATTTAGTTGTTCTACCTCTTTGTGTGTTAGTTTAGGTAGGTAGTGAGTTTCTAGAAATTTGTCCATTTCCTCTAGGTTTTCAAATTTGTTAGAGTATAATGTTTCATAGTATTCTGTTATGATTGTTTTAATTTCAGTTGGGTCTGTTGTGATAGCACCCATCTTGTTTCTTATATGGGTTATTTGCTCCCTCTCCTGTTTTCCTTTTATCAGTTTGGCCAATGGTTTATCAATTTTGTTGATCTTTTCAAAGAACCAGTTTTTGGTCTTGTTAACTCTTTGAATTGTTTTTCTATTCTCTATTTCATTTAACTCTGCTGTAACTCTTATTACTTCCTTTCTTCTGGTGCCTGAGGGCTTCTTTTGCTGCTCTCTTTCTCCTTGGTCCAGTTATAGGGTTAACGTTTTGATTATGGCTCTTTCTTCCTTTTGGATGTATGCATTTATTGCTATAAACTGACCTCTGAGCACTGCTTTTGCTGTATCCCAAAGGTTCTGGTAGGATGTGTTTTCATTCTCGTTTGATTCTATGAATTTCTTTATTCCATCCTTAATTTCTTCTATAACCCAGTAGTTTTTGAGCAAGGTGTTGTTCAGTTTCCATGTGTTTGATTTTTTTTTCCCTGCTTTTTCTGTTGTTGATTTCTACTTCCACATGTTTTCACATATCAACTTTAATTTACAGAAATTTTAACTGAAGGAAAGATGGACTCAGGGAGTGAGTCAGAGAGAGAATAAACTTATCATATTCTCAGGGTTACTGACTAGTCATGGATACCCCCTGCTGTAGAATGGCCCTCTAAGTGGCCATGTTTCTGCTGCCTGACCTTGGCCTCTGGCAATGGATGACTAAGCAAGATGTAGATACCTGTCCCAAAGTGGGCTAATCAGATTGTCTTTCCCAGACTTTCTGAATCTGGAATGGAAAATAAAAATTGGGAATCTCAGGTTCTGAGTTTCACTAATAGCAGCACTACATAGAGAATGTCCATATCCTGCTGCTGAGGTCCCATAGCTATTATTCTTTGCTTGTGGTGACTGTTCAAGCCTCATGGATTCCAGATTCACCATTTTGATTATTAAGGCAATCAGAGTCTATTTCCAATTTATATAGAATGTATTTCTTTATCTTAAAAATCTAAATATAAAATTTTATAATTAGAAATCAATTTTTTTATTTCCCCCATAAGAGTTAAAGAAATATACATATAAGCCCAAGAAACAAAAATCTTCCAGACCCAGATGATCTTTCATTTAATTTGAGTGATCAGATAGTCCTATAGGTTTGCCAGAGCAGAATTTGAAGATCACCATAAACATCTTCACATGTTTATAAAGAGTAATGGAACAAGAAATCTTAGAAAGCATTTTACCCACACTGGTGCCTTATTTTATAGATAAAGCAGGCCAAAGTTCAGAAGTGACTGACCAAGGTCATCAAGTAGTAGTAGGGTAATGGCAGTAAGGCCAAGGCTTAGCTGGGGATTCCACAGTTAGAGCTCTATTATCATTAGTTCACTAACCTTTAGGAAAAAAACAAAACCCACTTACCGTTTCTTGAAACAAAAGCCAAATATGTTAACAGATGAAAATTAGTCATGTACTTTAGAATATGCACTTAAACAAAGCATACATGTAAGATGAATTCTCTATCTGTGCTAACGGTGTGTACTTTTTTAAAATAAAAAAACGAAATGGCAATTTTAGCAACTATGTTTCTTTGACAGCATCATCTTCCTCTATATCCCAAAACAGAAGGCCTGTATGAAAGAACTTACCATAGATAAATTCCAAGGTGGTCCACGTGGGATGTGGCCAGGAAGTCTCCAGTAGGGGACATGGTAACATTGAGAGGGGCTGAGTCCAACAAAAAGCAGTCTACAAGGCTGGCAAAAAAGAATTATGGTGTTAAAGTATTTGAACTCTACCAAAAAAGACAAATTCACACAAAATATTTCTGCTAAAAGAGTAAAGGATGCAGAAAATTTTTGTGTTTCCTTTTTAAAACCACTGACCCCATAAAATCATCAGTAACATAAAGCTTTGTCAACTAAGTTATTGTGGAAAAATAGCCTGAGTCTTAAGTGAGAAAGGCTCAGAACATTAAATAGATAACAACAGGGAGAACAGAGGAAGGAATACTCTTTTTCTGGAATGTCAAATTTTTGGTAGATTGACTTGGGTACAACTCTGAAGATATTTAAAAGATATTTAAGATGACTGCCTTCCTGTTATTCCAGTGAAAATAAGAAAAGGCTCAGAAGAAGAAAGTAATAAAACAAAATGGCTGTAAATAAGAGGATGGTAATGGAAAAAAACTTTTGAGCAAATCTACCCGTTTTTTAAGCAGGTAACCATGCTATATTAAAAACACATGAAAATTCAGTCTATAGAAATTAACTATAAAGCAACTTATAGAAACTGGTTCCACAGTTTTAAAATGCTCGTGGGGTCACAAAAGGTTGGGGTGGGTGGGCGTGATCACACCCAGCTAGGAGATTCAGACCAGGTTTCACAGACAGCACGATGTTTGAGATGAATCCTACAAATGGACAAGATTTACAACGAACGTGGATGGTAGTGAAGGCATTCCTCGCTGATGGAAACGTGCAGGGCAAGGCGGGGCTGACACACAACTGGGTTAGGAAGGGGTACAGTTTGGTGGGGCCATGAAGCCTAAGCATGAGGCTGCACAGACAGCCTTTAATCGAAGCATCTGAGCTTGTTTTTATCTTATAATCAATGGAAAGTCACTATAGGCTTTAGAGCAGACAGTGGTGTAATCACTTGCAAACGAACATTTGCCATCAGAATGCAGAATACATCTGAGCAGGAAGTACAGTGAGATTATGGTAGCAGCCACCAAACAAGCAATGAAGGTATGAACTAGGATGTTGGCAGCAGGCAAATGGAAAGGTCTAAACACACCCACATCCTCCCTGAAAGGCTTTTCAGGCTGGCTAACAGTGGGAATACTTTGTCATTAATCCAGGAATACCTTCAAGAAGAGTATACTGGCTTTAATCACAACTGTTCTTACAAACCACTTTATTCACTGAAGCCAGTAAATTATTCATGGGAAAATACAGCAAAATGACTGAAACTCAGGATTTACATCAAATAAAACAAACAATTCCAAGAAAAAAATACAGCAGTTATCATTTTTTCAAGTGCTCTGTGCTAGAAGTCTACTGAGTACTTTTGACTAATTTAATCCTCACAAGCCTGTGAAGTAGAAAACAGGCTTAATGACATTTAAAAATTTGGTCACGGTTGAAAGCAACCAGGCCAGAATTTTCACCCAAGTAGTCTGCACTCTTAACCCTATCCAAAAAAACCAAACCTATGACCGTCAAGTTGATTCCAACTCACACAGACCCTACAGGACAGAAAAGAACTGCCACAGAGGGTTTTCAAGGCTGTAATCTTTACAGGAGCAGACTGCCACATCTTTCTCTTGGAAAGCGGCTGGTGGGTTCCAACTGCCCACCCTTCATCCCAACGCTTAACCATTGTGCCACTAGGGTTCCTTCTTAAACCTATAAATGCCAGTAAAGCCACTGCTGAAACTAAATGTACAACTAACAGCTTGACAGCATGTACAAAGCCAGGAAATGGTCACACTGGTGATTCAGGAACTACACTCTGAGTAGCTCAAATGTACATGAAGACACTCCAGCAGCAATGACATTAAGTGGCTTGCCCCTATGAAAACAACTCTCTCAATCTACTGAGAGCCATTAACAATGTAAACATTACAAAATGAATGTAAGATGGGAAGAAAAGACTAAAATTAGCAGCACTGGATTCAAACACATACCAAAGTGTGTTCAGGACAAACACTGCTGCTTAATGTTCAGTTGTAGGGAAAAAAAAAGGAGTAACCAGTCTGATTTCTGCTCAAAACTCACAAGAATGGCTTCTCTTGGAGGGAAAAAAAATCATTCACTTAAGTGTCTACTATATGCCAGAGACTCCGTTAACTTATTTATGTTAATTCATTTAATCTAAACAACCCAGAGCAGTACCATAACTCCGATCTGTAGATGAAGATTAAACCCAAGATGGCAATTTCAGACCTTACCATTTCTTCTTTGTCATGATCAATATTTGTTCATCAAAAGTTTAAATATGTGAGGGGTGGAACTCCCTAATATGTTCAAAATCTACCCATTAAATAGAGACTTTATTGCTTGAACAAACTTTATTTTACTTGACACTATATTTAATATGTCAAATACATTGTGCATCTTCATTCCACAGCTGTTGTGTGTGGGTAGACTGGCCTTCCATTGTGTAAAAGCACCAAATTGAGAAAGGCAGTTTCCACAGACACAGCAGATTTTTACACTGTCACATTAGTTCATAAAGCGTAGGTGTGCACGCTTAATCCTAGACCTAAAACTACCATATAGTCAGTCTCCTGCTAACCTCACAAAATGAAAAGTCCCAGGTACATTACAGTTTTTTTCTGAAAGAACATTAATAAAATTCCTATTCTAAGAGAAGATTCTCAAGCACAGAGTACTGAATATACAGCTAACATTCAGAAAGTCTTTCCGTTATTCTGAACAAATGCAAGTACTGTCTAGACGTTCTGTCTTCAAAATGATAGAATCGCCTTCCACAGCAATCTTTGAAGAGTAGGACAAAGGGACGTTCGTTTTGCTTCAGTAAAAAACGAGCAAAACAATGTTCTATTCCACATTATTCTCGCATAATGTTCCTCAGAAAGCAGGGCCCAGGAGTGGGACAGAACAAAATGTAAAATTCTATTAAGGCTATTTGAGGTTTCTCACTCCCCAAGGAGTTCAACCTAAACTTCCAAATAAATAAAAAATAGCCAACAACAATTACAAAAAAGGTGGTGGTGGTAGGGGAATGACAGATAAATTCAGGGACAAAAAATTTCAATTCTGCTCCTGAGTATCCTACAAATAGGAAAAAAAAAAAAAAAAAAATGGCACTTTAAATTTACAGGATACAGTCTAGCACCCATGTAATTTGTTTTATTAAGACCAGCACAACTCCAGATAGGCACACCTGTATGTTACCACACCCAAAGCTTTACTCATAGACAGTTTCACTTTTCAGGCTATGGGATAAGTATGTTCATTCTTTAAATATTTAACATATTACATAAATGATGCAACTGCTTACTGAAGAAAGAACTAGGAATCTCCAAAGGTTGCCATACTAAATTATGTTTAAAAAGAGAAGAAGATCAAAAACCCCAAGTTACCTATGGCTATATAACAAACTACTATATATTTAAATAATATACAACTTTTAAATGAAAAAAAAATTGAAGTTATTTTAGTCTCAGGTCCTTGTATAATTTCTCTAATACTTTTATTTTTAATTAATGCTTCACATATTCTAAAGACAGAGTTACTTATATGTGTATAGAGACATTATCTAAGTTTGTGAAGTTTCCATAACCTAAAAGTTCTCACCATTGCTAATACTGATCCTCACTTCCTTATTATCTACCTGCTACATCATCAAGAAAATCAATCCATCCTTAGTACACACAACACAACCTGAACAAGGCTGATATCACATCTGTTGGGAAACTTCTTTCTTTCTCTGATGCTTATCTTTTGCTCTGCCATTTACAGACTATATGACTTTGGGCAAATCACTTAACCTTTCCCTGAGCCACCATTTTCCATTTGTAAAATGGAATTAAAAACAGTAATAGTACCTACACCTGTTAAGATAGGAGGGAAGATGAAAAATGAAAGCGAACAGAGCACCTAACAGGCATGGGAGATGTTAGTTTAGTTGTGATTTGGCAGCAGCAGTTGTTTGATTCTGCTTTTCAATTTCTTACTCACTCCACTTAAAATCCTAACCAAAGAAGTAAGGCTTTTTCTCTAGTAAAACTATACTTCTGTCCAATCAGATTGGCTTTCTTTTAACAATCTCTACGTGGCTTATGTCTTGTTCTTTCATTTACAAAATGCCCAGATTCATGCCTCTGTAATTCACTTAAAATTGCCTCAGTGTTAACCTGAAAATAAGACACTAGAGTTGAAAACCTATCAGATTTAAATCTCTTCAACTCTTTACTGAAATAAGAAATCAGCAAAATGGCTAATGCTGAGTCAAAGGTTGGTGGCTTTGAATGCTACTAATTCTTTCGTTCCAAAGATAACTTACCACTTAAAAATTTAGTATTACTTAACACTGACAGATCCCTCAGACCTAATGTGAACTAAAACTACTAAAAAGGGAAATAAAAAGGTCATTATGACAACTCTATTACTCGTACAACTTTCCTATTGTAAAGCAATTCAAATTATAATGCTTATTTTTAAGAAAACAGCAAAAGATCAAGAAGCAATGGACCACCAATATTTTAATGGTGTCCTTAACAGAAAGTTTTTTTAATTAAAGAAGTACCAACTTTAGGTAAACTTTTTGATGCTAGAGGAGAACACAATCAACTAATTAGTTCTTGCTTTACCCTATGTGAAAAAGAGACAAGCCTGTGGACAAAAGTCCCTAGTTATTAAAACTACACACATTAGGAACACTCTTTTGCTGTGTATATTCTAAATCTAGTGTGCGTGCTGGATAGGCAGATGTGTCCCATTCCTATACTGAACTTGAAGGAAATGAGGACATCAGGGTTTTTCCTCCCTAAAGGTCAAATTGCTTTCAGGTGTGAACTTATCCAATTCCTGAGAAAGAAAGAGGAAATGAGGTGGTCGGAGTTCAGTTTAGAAATATTTCAGAGGATGAAAAAAATACCATCTTCCTTCTTATTTTTCTCACCTATTTCTTTCTTCATGGTGTGTTCCTGTTAAATTAGATGCTTTGATATTACCACCACACTTTCTTCTTTCAGACTCAATCTAAGCAATTCCATGTTAAGTGATAAATGATTTTAGAAATGTATTCATTCCTACACAAATCTTCAACAATAAAACACACACACACACACATATATATATATACACAAACATTTTTGCAAAATTATAATGTGTTGTATTCAAGTCTGGTTTAGTAACACAACCTATATAAAACAGATTTCTGAAAACTGCTGGGTTTTACCCAAACCCTAAGAAACACACTTTCACTGCGTTAAGGTATCTAAAACCTCCTCTTTCAAGAATTACACTAAAAACCAAGAAGTCACAATATACAAAAAAGGAAGTTAGGGTGTTTGACCTTGTAACTAGATTCAATATGAACTATTTAAAAACAAAACAAAACAAAACTAGTTTACAGTCCTAAAGTCTGAGCTCTGTTTTGGAGTATCAAAAAAGCCAAATGAGTTCTCTTCAGGTTTATGCAACTCACTTTGATACCTCAGTTTTACAAGAACAGAAAACATGAGACGTTGCATTTTTCTACACAATTATCTTTTATGTCTCACCCTGTGGTCTTTAGAGATCAAAAACATTCCAAGGATAAAATATAGTCATGTTAGAAAAATTCCCAAATACATTCACACTCAAAAACACACATAATCCTTAAACCTTAAACCAAAAATATCCCCTGAAGTCTTCTTAAAACCAAACAATAGTTTAGCTTAACTAGTAAAAAAAAGTCTGACTTCAACATTATGCTGTTTTAAGAACTATCTACATGGGATCAAATTGACAACAGCTACTCCAAAGATTAGACAGGAACCTTAGAGGGCAATGAGTTTATTTTACTAAGGGAGGACAACTCAAAAAAGGAGGGTGAGAGTGGCTGTACAACTCAAACAATGTAATCAGCGTCACTGAATGGTACCTGGAGAAACTGTTGAACTGGTATATGTTCTGCTGCATATATTCTAAACAACAACAAAATAAATACAATTTTTTAAAAAACACATAATCCATTAAATATAGATTAAAAAACACATGCAAAGATACTGAGAAACCTTCAGAGAGGTTAGCAATTTAAAAATGAACTCACCACCCAGATGGAAGATCCCAAGTCTTAATAGAGCAATCCATTGAAGCACTTATTAACCAACGGCCATCAGGACTGAAAGCCTTTAAATTATTTTAAAAAACAAAACAAACATATATGTCAAAATAGCTACATGTATCAATTATAGCCTATAATATAAGAAATGAAAAGATGCAAACTTACTGAAAAACTAAGAAATCTGAGTACAATTCAGACTGCTTTATTTTATATAAAAGAAAACATCATGCCTTATATACCACTGATTTGAAATTTGGATGAGGATTAAGATTTTACATAAATTAGAAAAAGTTTTAAAAAGTTAGGACTACCATGCCAATTTTTAGTTTGTATCCCATAATCTTTTTATTTGGAGATAACTGGCAAATTATATTCCACTACAAATCGTTTTTAACATTAAAAATGCTGTTCTGAGAATGTTTAATTAGAAACGTTTTGTTAGACTAATTTTAGTTACAAAGTATTTGTGAAAGCGACAAGAGCTACCTTCCATTGAAAAGAGTCTACTTACTACACTGGCTTTCTAAGAATTAACTCAAACCAATATGGTTTTGAGGACAGAGTATGTAAAATTCTCTTAAAATATTAAGGTTACTAAATAAGAAGTCCTCTTATTTACAGCTTCAGTTAAAATATTCTTTTCTTCTTTAATAACACTTTATTTCCAAAATATAATTTAAAAATCGCTAAAATCAGAAAGGAAGTTATAAAAATTTAAAATAATGATCCATTCACATCACTTAAAGAAGTTATATCTTTTAAATATTTTAAAAAATGAATAAATAATAGCTCAACTTGCCTGCAGCACATAAGAGTTACGAGGCTTAAATGAGGTCAGATGTGAAAGAAGCACCAAATCTTTAAGACTTGTAATGGAAGCAGACTGTTTATATCCAGAGTCTAAACCCAGCATGGCGATTACAATCATCCATATTAGCAATCATATTGGAATATATGAACACTAATTTGTTCATTAGGTTGCAGTGAATATCATGAAAACTCAACCCTCAAGGTACCAAAAACTCATTTCAGAAGGGTGGAGCAGCTAGCGAAGGATGGTAAAAAATGACTCGGAGAAGTAAGGTCATGTATAAATGCTCATAGATTTAAATGACCAGGAGTAATGTTATTACTGAGTATGACAGACTCCAGACACACAGTTTGAAAGTATAAAAAGGAAATAGGAAGAACAAGTTGACACTGACAGATGTTTTCAAAAATGCTATTTCATCAAAACTACCCCATTCCCACCCACATTTCTACAGATGCTATCACAACAAATCCTGCTGATGGGTAATTTTGCCAATCTCCAATCTGAAGAACACAGTTTTTTGACCAATTTTTTCTTCCATTTTTAAGGAAAAGAGTACGCCCTGCACATTTCTGATTTTTGGTGTGAGGACTGATAAGTAAAATGTAGCACTTAGTAGTTAGAATTTTATTTTTATTTTTCCTGTTTTCTAGTAAATCAAGATATCTGCAAAATGACAACAGATACTTAATATAGTTCTCAACCGATAAATTTAGTTTTTTTTAAATGAAACATTTATACTTTCAAAACTTTTTCCCATATCATATATTGCACTATAAGAACACAGTAGTAAGCAAAAATATATTTTTATCACTTAAACTCTTTTGGAGTTAAGATACACAAACTCAAGAAATAACATGAAACTAGAACAAATCAAGTATGGATATTCCAGGTAACTAAAAAAACCCATTGCCATCAAGTTGATAATCTCCTATTACTACCTTCTACGTATGCAGAAAAAGAAATAAGCTCTCTCAGCATACTTGAATATTAAGTAAAAACTGACAAACATATGTATCAATGGATCATCCATTCTTCAAAGTATATTTTGGTCTTGTTTAGAGTTTAAGAGGAAAAGATGAACTCTAGGATTTATGCTATTAATCTGATGGCATCAACTCCTTCAGAAATTTTAAACTTCTTTGAACTTTAAATTTTCCTCAAAAATCTTTTAAAATTAGTCTCCAAATTATGTATTTTTAAAATTATAAATGATATATTTAAGGCTATTAAAGGATATGAGTTTTAATTATTTGAACATTTTAAGCCCAATTAAAACTAGAAATGAGTCAAGTTTTGTTTAAATATCTAAAGTCTGTTTTACCATGTCATTTATTTGCCCTTGGTGTCCAGAAAACTCTCTGACAACCTTCCTAGTTTCTATGTCCAGAACAATGATGGAGAAGTCATCCAAGGCGAGTCCCAGAATACCACTAGCAAGAGAAACAAATGAGTTTCAATAAAAAAAATCCTAGACTCAGTCTCACATGCACTTTAATTTTGCTAAATACACCTTAGGAAAATTATGCAACATACTATTCTTTATTAAAACAGTCTGATTTTTTCCCACTTGGTGAATAATGTAGTTTACTTAAATTAAGAACTTTTACCTAAAACATCAAGAAGAAAATCTATCATCATTATCATTAAAAGAAAATTTTACCTGTCCCTATGTAGTAGCATCATATTTGGAGATGAAGTGAGGTTCATAGAATGGATTAAAATTTTGTTTTTAAAGTTCCAGAATTTGAGTAATCCTTCACTACCAGCTGTAATTGTTAACTGGTTTAATCCATCCACTGCAACACCTCTAACACATCCTTTATGAGCTTTAAAGTACATGTTGAAAGAAAGAAAGAAAAAAAAAAAATCAAATTGGCAGTGCCTTTCTAAATGGTACATAAAGAACAACTTCTTTATTCAAATATCTAGACTCCCACTACTTATATCTTCTAAAACCTTGTAATTAATCTGGATTTTTGACAAAGGGAGAAGATTCTTAATTATTATATGCTCAGGTAAACACTAAAAAATTCATCAGATTGATGCCATGAACAATATTCCAAAAGACAGCTAAGATTTCAGGCTGAAACCAAGAGGAAAACGAAAAATTTAATTTGCGTAACATCCACTTCTCTTTGATGTATTTGTGATTTTATTTTGAGTATAGCAGTCCCCGACTTACGACAGGGTGCCATTCTGATGACTCTTGTTGTGAGTCGGTTCTGACATAAGTCAAATACCTTTTTTTAGTTTTCATTATTATTGTCTTTTATTATCAGTATCTTTATAAATCCAATCTTTGAATATCTGCAAGTGAACATCTGAGAATGATACCAGCAAATTATGCGCCGCAACATGTATGTAGTACTTATTACTAAAGATAAAATGTACAAAACAAAACAAAAGACAGTCGTAAGTGTGGTTTGTCATAACTCAAACACATTGTAAGTTGGAGACTACCTGTATTCCAACATGGCGCTTATAGTAAGTATAACGGTAGTACCTGTCATAGACAGTTAAAGATAACCTACCTAAAACTCTTCCCAAAACTTCTGGCACTTAAGGATTTAATAAATATTATTATCCCTGTATCTGTCTAGTTATAAAAAGAAGAAAAAAAAAAGTAAAAGGGCTACTTCGGTACCTTGTTCCTTGCCAAAAGCTCCTCGATGTATACCAGACTGCATGTTATATACATCTACAGTTCCTGATGAGAGGCCGATTACAGCAAAGTTGCCACAAGAAGTTATATCCACTGCCTATGAAAAAAAGAGAAAGGAAAAAAAAAAAAAAAAACACACAAATGACACAGAAAAAAACAATTAACATTCTTTGTACTTCATGGTATTTTCTATCTACTAATTAGCTCATGAATTGCTTCATTAATTTTCTTAAATATTTAATTTATTAATGCAATTTTATTTGGATATAGAAGAAAAATCTGCTGGGTTCTAGCTCCCTAGTAAGTACAAGAAATTTTTGTCCAAAAAATATAACCAAAGTTAACTGAATTGAAATTTATGAAGTTGAGAACTGTATCATCTGTTGGCTTTAAGCTCTAAATTTTCCACAAAAGTACTAAAGTCGAAGCATCCCACTGTCTAATTTCTCTTTACCTTACTTTTATAATTGCTTCCACAGCTGATACAAAGTGGAAAACATACCATCAAGGAGAACGTCCAGTGAAAAAGCCCAAAAGCCCACAGTGTTTTAAATGACATAATTAGGATGGAAATATGTAAGACAATGACTAGAAAACATCTAGTTTAGCCTGAACTTATGAAAAAAGTTAAGACATTCACAAAAGAAAACAAAATTTCAAATGAGTAAGAATTTATAAGTAAATATTGGCATTTCAAAACTCTATTTAAAAAGGTCTCAGACAACTCAATCAGAATTTCTAATGTAAAACACACTTTTCAAAAGAGAAATATAAGAAAATAAGAGATAAAGAGTTTAAATAACTTCTGTACCTATAACTCATTACAGGTTTAGCTAATCTTACTTCTGTATCAAGAAAAAAACAAAAAAGGAAGAAAGTGACTTTAAGATCCACACTCATTAAATATAGTACTCTATACAACAAAATTCGGTAAGAAAGTATATTGATAAATGCTGAAATCATCTTCAAACGGTACTGTGAGTAATCCTATATTAAAAAATTAAAGTAACTAAAATATTACTTATACACCTACTCTTCACTTATTAACTCTCTCGTTGTACATTTCATATTTACAATAGTGAAGAGTCTAGTATCTGACTATTTTGTGCATTAATGAGGAGCCAAGGCGAGAGGGGGAGCAGGAGGGCAAGGTATGTGCGAGGGAACGAGGCCGCACACAGGCTGCTGTCTGTTGGTATTATCCAGTGTGGTGGAGGAGTCGGGCCAGTGGTAAGCGTGGGGCAGGCAAGGGGGGCCAGGCTGCAAGGAAGCAGTGAGAGCTGGGGCTGTAGGAGTCAGGCAGGGGGCTGGGAAGTCTCTTCTTCCAAAGGGGTCTCTCTGCCACCTCTGCAGCTTCCACCAGGCCCAGGTGGCCATGCCTCACCTGCTCCCAGGCCTGGGAGCTGCCTACCACCTAGGCCGTCTCCGGGGCCAGTGGAGCGGAAAGGTGGAGAGGTGAGGCACAGACAGGTGATGGTGGGCAAATCCGACCTCACCACCACCACCCTCAAATCTTGCAGGCTCCGTGGTGGTGGGGAAGGTGAGCCCACCGCGCCACGTGCATCTCCACCAGGGAAGCCTAACAGGCAGGGGGGTGGGAGGGGGACAGACACTGGAGCCAAAGACCAGGCATGGCCCCAACTCTCGCATAATGACTTGGTCTTTGGAACCTAACCATGTCGATAAGTGAGGAATGGGTGTAGTCTATCACGGCGTAACTTCAACTTAAAATAGTAATTCTTTGCAAGCTGGAAAACAGAACATTATTAAGGGATGTTAAACTATGTTCTTTCAACCATTATTATCGTTAGTAAACTTTAGTATAACAAGAATACCACAGGACATAGCTAAAGGTGAAAATGTCCTTATAAATAAGTTCACTTACTGTTGCAGTTACATCATCTGTCTTCAATTCTTTTGGCTTGAGAAAGTAAGCGCCTATTGTAGATCTTTGATAGTTCCAGGTTGAGCAAGATAGCTTACCTTGATGGCAAGCAATGATACTATCCCAGTCACTCTCACGAGCTTCCTCTAAAACATAATTAAAATCACAAATCAACTTTCTTTTCATTTCCTCATTCATTCATTAACCTACTATTTATCAAGCATCTAATACCGCATGTTATCATCAGGCATTAGGGATACAATGGTAAAATAAATAGGTCATCCCTATCTTGTGCATTAGTAAGTAAGCTTCCAATCTAAGGAGAGATACTGATGAGAAGATATTACAATAAATATGACAGTGTCTCAAAAGAACACTCTTGAAGAGTTTTACTAAAAGATTTTACGAGAGTCTTAAATGGCTCCCTGGAAGAAGAGGTAAAACAAATAGAAATTAATCAAAGTGCTCATCAAGATTAACTGGACAAAATTAAGCACAGCAAGTTTCTTGGGAGGGGCAGGAAGAGGGTAAGGCAACTGGACCACATTACAAATGGCCATGAAAGCTGTGCTAAGGAGAGGGGTCTTCACTCTAAAAGCAACAAGAAGCCACTGAAAGATTTTAAGCAGATGAATGACATGATCGGATGTGCATTTAGAAAGACCACCCAGGCTCTAAGAAAGCAAACAGACAGAAGCATAGTCAAAGTTAAAGTAAAGAAATACCAGTGATAAGGTTGTTTAAAAAAACCAAACCCATTTCTGTAGAGTCGATTCTTACTCAAAGTGTTGTTACCCACCCAAAAAACCAAACCCACTGCCATCAAGTCAATTCCAACTCATAGCAACCCCAGAAGGTTTCCAAGGCTGTAAATTACTACGGAAGCAAACTGCTACATCTTTCTCCCTTGGAGCTGCTGGAGGTTTCGAACACCAACCTTTTGGCTCAAGGTTGTTACAGTAACCTTGAAATGGAAATGGCGTCTGTAGTTATTTCCTATAATAGTTTTCAATCAGCAATCCCATCATCTATCTACATTTTTCTTAAAATCACTTCCTTTCAGGTCTTGATTAAATTAGTCAGAGCTCTGTGTTATTGTGCTTTGCTCTCCAATTTCTCACCGTTTTACACCAGTAATTTTAATTACAACAGCCGTGATATAAAAACAAAAGCTATAAAATCAAGAACTGTTTATCAACAGCTCTTACGGAGAAGAGCAAAACCTAAAACTATTAGATAGATAAGTAGTTTACATTATAAATAACTCATTTTTAGTCTTCACAGACGATTAGTATGCACTTGGGGTTCCCTTATGGATTGGAGGAAATGAAGCAATATGAGCGGGAAATAAATGACAAAGAAGAACTCCTCAAAACACAGTATGAACTTACTTACCTGCTGCAAACTTTGTTATGGGTGGAAGTCTCACTGACAGGGTATTCTGAAGTCCTTTCCGTTTGACTCTCTTTTTATTTATTAATCCTAGGGGTTGGAGGAAAGGGGAATCCTTCTTAATAAAAAATGTACATAAAAGCTATTCATTTATATAAACTTCAAGACATACCTATTTAAGTGAGGAGGAAAACAAAGATTTTGTTATTACCACTATAATCACTTGTGAAGTTTAGCCTATGCAATTAGACAAGAAAACGAAATATGAGGCATAAGTAATTTATAAAAAGTGGTAAAAATTTCATTATTTACAAATATGACTGTAATATAGCCATGTCAATCAAAAAAAAAATCAACCAAATAATTACTGGTAATAATAGTTTCATTGGGGCCAGATACAGAACCAATATGAAAAAAATCATACAGTTCCCTACACTGCAGCAATAACCAGTCAGAACAAAAACCAAACAAGTACTACATTCACAATAGCAAATCTATATTTACGTATAATGCTACTGAATAATCAAGTACGTAGGACCAAAATGAAGAAAATTAAAAAACTTCACTGAGGAACATAAAAAACAACTCAAATTAGGATATATCACATTCCTAAATGAGAAGATTCTTAAAGATATCAAATCTCTTTAATTCCAAAGGGAATTATGTTGGATTTCAATTAAAGAAAAAAATCTTAAAATTAATCTGGAAGCATATGTAAGCATGAATAGCCAGGATAGTCACTTAAAAAGAAGAGTAATTATTAATAAAACTTAAAAACATTTTTGTTTAGCAAACAAAATCCTTCAAAAGCTGGAAATCACGCAAATTGAAGGAGAATACAATGAGCCTTTTACAGCAAAAAGACTAGGCACTGCTTGCTTTGATGCTCTAACCTTCTTTTCATCTTCAAGATTCTGCACACCAGATTGCTCAAGTCAATATTAATGTCTTTTGGGTGGCAATAGTATGTTTTCATCACCCAAGATGTCTAACTGTATTCAATAATCTTAACAGCAGAACCTCAACTGACACAATAGCAACTTTGATCTTAGAAATCTCACTAACTCCTCTACACACAGTTTTTACTTCAACCAAATTTCATCCATGAAATTTAGTGGTGAAACCTCCTCCAGTTTTCTCACAGAATCTTGAAATGTTTCTTTAGTGACCAACAGCTTTTTTTCAATCTTGTAAATGACTTACCATGTCCCAAGCTTTTATTAAACTTTTCATGTATTGTGGAAAATGACTGAAGAGTTCCATCTTGACCTGTTGACATACACAGAAAATTCCTAATCAAGCTTCACCAAAACAGTGATCGTTTGAATCACAGAACTTGTAAAATTAGATTATATAAAAAGCTCTAGGTTACGGTTTGGGACACCTTAAAGGGAGAGCCAGAAACTACTTCATTAAAATATTCAAGTGGGCATAGAATGCCATTTACTAAGAAGGGATAAAATGAAGAACTAAGAATTTTCAACAGATTATTAGTGGAAGATGCAATAAACACATTTCTAGCATCTGACCATCCTGTCTGAGGATTTGCCAACAGAGTGACAACCACGTGCAGGGAGTATCATCCACAGTGTTTCCAGAAGTAGTCACAAGAACTATCTCAGTTTTATTCAGGTTTCCGAGTCACTCAAAGGGACATTAGAATCTAAAATGGTGTAAATACCAAATCTAAATACTTGCTGGAATAAACTAATAGCACAAAGGAGAAACTCACTTGCGCTAAGAATTTGTTGTCCATTTTGTCCATAATATCTGATTTTGGTAAGAGGAGCACTATGTCCCATTCTGAATCTCAACAGCCGACCTTCACCTACAGGACCGTCAAATATCCATATCTGCCAAGAAATAAAAAGGTAAGGTTCTTCCATAACGTGATCTGCAAGCTGGGGGTGGCTGGGGCTGGGGTGGTGGTGGTGGCAATAACATGCCACTTTTTTCTTACTTTCTCACCCCCTGTGCTTTTTGTTTCATCTATACCAATACTTCATCCCATATTCCTTTCATCTTCTAGGTTTGAGGCTGATATATTAAAGTAGGCTTGTAATAACCCAAAGAGTAGGTCAGATGGGCCATATATAAGGTGATAACAATACTCATGATACCCTGAGAGCGTTGTCAGCGCCATTTGTGACAAGAAGTGGTTCTCTATGGAGAAATGTCAATCCGGCAATTGCTGTAGAATGAGCATTTCTCATCTGATTGATTAATTTTTTGTCTTCTAGATCCCACAGTCCAATATGGCCACACGGGCTTCCGGCTGCCATTACTGGATGACCATCTGTTATTAAATTAAAATACATTAAGAAATACTTAAAAAAAAAAGGCAGTTGCTGGTGAGTCAACTCAGACTTATGTCAACCCCATATGCACTCCCAAACAACAAAACTGAACAATACTTCACTCCACCATTTTAAACCATAAATATAAAATTAGAAAAGACCAAAAAGATAAACCCATGATATACACCAGTATCCTAGTCATATTTCTTTGGCTCCTTCTACTTCAGTATTTCATTTATTTCTGGTAAATTACAAGAAAATATCTGTTAAGAAAACTTTTATAACCTTCAAAGTAATGCATTTTAAATGTCTTTACTCCTATCAATAAATAAGTTAAAACTTACCTGTGCGAAATGATATCGAAGTAATAGGTCCCCAATCCTGACGAAATTTCATTAGTGTTTCATCAAACTTAATGTTATGAATGATCACCTGACCTGACATAAGACCCACTGCAACAACATCCACAGCTGGTGCCTGAAAATTAAATCACTAAACTTGTTATTTTCTTAATAAAAATAGCTTTAAATATCCTGATGGTATGCGTCATTCATGTGTTATCAAAAGAAACAATGGAATGTCTTCCTAAACGTGGTTAAAACAAAAAACAACAACAACAAATATTACCATTCTGGCATACCTTAATTGCTATTTAGCATGAAAGCATTTAGGAATGATTTTTCCAAGCTACTTCCCAGTTACAGATTTGCCAGTCACCATCCCTTCCGTATTCTCAAACCATAGCTAACACAATAGAAAAAGAAGCTGATGTGTGAAATCACTACAGATCATTGACTGGATGGACAAAGAAAAAGGAGACAATTCCTAGAAAACATAAAGGCTCACTATATGAATGGAACCATAAAAGGCCAACTGCAAAGGAAATGAATAACTTTTTTTAATCCAAGCAAAATGGAAAAAAAACCCCATCAAATATGCTAAAAGGCAAAATAACTTGCAATTAGTCTCTTCTAGCTCTAGCATTCTATGATTCTTATCTTCATTTACACAATGGTCTTACAGGCTATATTTTGAGTTTCTCTATTTTAGCACAGAAGATCAATGTCTAATAACATTATAAAATGGAATCAGACTAAACATTTTTTGATTTGCCATCAAGAGCCTACTGTGCATCAAATCCTGTGTAGAAAGCTGGGGATACTAAAACAAATACGTTCCTTGACCTCAAAGGAACTAATCATCTGACTCCTTTGGGGTTTTCTGGGTAAGGGAAGCCTGAGCAAGGTTGATGGTAGTGAGAAAAGACATGGAATGCATATAAATTGGCCAGTTATAGGCAACAGATATTCAGAAGGACAAGGGTACACTGGCTGTATGTGTCTGATATACACGCCAGATTCTCTGCATACATACGTTCATTCATTATACAGGTTTTGTGGACTCATAAAAAACAAAAAGCAGTTCTTTTCTGAAAGATTCCAGTGTTGAATCAAATATTAGGGGTTTTGCCCCATTACTTCAAACCATAAATCTCAACATCCTGACAAATATCTCTGTGTAAGACCTACAATCTCCTTGCTTTACTGAACAACTCATCTGCACTATGCACAAGGCACTGAACTACAGGTGTGCAGAATGACTGGTAAACACAAGTTCCATAACAACCACAGGTCTAGAATCTAATTCCAAGAACTAAGGTTTCCACAAAAGTTTACAGGCAAAGGTATTACTTGTTTTCAATTACATTTCCAAAACATTATTTCTTCAGGCTATCAGTTATAAAGATAAATTAAATTAAATGTTAATTTGTCTTTAGGGCTAAAAATACGGTTGACCCCTAAAACTATAAGACCCTACTACTAACTTTGTTTCTTCTGACATAATAGAAAAATGCAAACCTGCTGAAGAGCTGTCACTCCAACTTTCCATCCTGGAAACGTATATAGAAGTTTACTACAAGAAGAAAAATAGTGGAAAGCCATTTTTTTCCCTTGAGGAAAACAAAATGAACTACACATTATAAAGTAAAATAATAACAGGCAATACTTATTAAGTACTTCCTCTGCCAGACATTTACTGTAAGTACATGTGCTAATTAAATATTCAAAACAATCCCACAAGGTAGATACTATTAACACCATTTTCCAGATAAAGAAACTGAGGTAGAGATGTGGAATAATTAGGCTAAGGTCACATGATCAATAAGTGGTAGGGGGCAGACAGGTCAATTCCAGATCCCAACCTGTTAACGACTATGTTATGCCACATCTTCAGGAAATCAAATGTCCAAGTAGGAATATATGCATTTTGGGTAAAAAATGGGTAAAAAGCATTCTATATTATAGACTACATAAAAAATAAATCTAAGAATTTAGGTAGATCTTATTTTTCACTGCAACGTGTTTCTAGAAACATCATCATAACAGTGAATATATTATATTTTAATTACAATAATAATCATGTTATATAACAATGATGCTGCTCTAAATTTCAGAAGTCATAAATGATAAATAAGTCCATTAAGCAAATAAAGATACCTGAAATCTTTATAACGATAATTATTAAAGTATCAAAACGTTTATTAAATTCTATAAATGGGCACACATGCAGTACCCTCAATAATTACACAAGGGATACTTAACGTACAATAAACAATACAAACACCATATTAAGAACCTAAAGCAGATAACCTTAAGGACAGAGATGATATCTCAGACACTTATTATCCCTGAGCCTAGCACACAGTAGGCAGTCAATGACATTTGTTAAATTGAACTGAAACACTGATTTAAAACTAAGAACTAGGGCAAACACGAAACCTTTGATAATCTTATTTTCTCTTTCCAATGTGTAAGGGCATTAGAAAGGACAATTTAGATGGTCCATTTTGGGTTTGCTTTGCTTTCTTTGATGCTATACAAGAAGTCTCAGCTCCCATCTTTTTCTCTATATAAATGTTCAAATACAAATTCAAAATCATTTGTCTAGCCCTCCAGCTATACCAAGAATACAACAGATATTCATTATGTCTGTGTTTGATGATGGAAGTATTTTTACCCCAACAACCATTTCTAAATGCTAGTACTACATTAGGAGCCCTGAGTGGCACAGTGGTTAAGAGCTTGGCTGCTAACCAAAAGGTAAGCAGTTCAAATCCACCAGCTGCTCCTCGGAAACCCTACAGGGCAGTTCTATCCTGTCCTATAGGGTCACTATAAGTTGGAATCAACTTGACGGCAACAGGTTTGGCTTGGTTTGGTTTAATACTACATTAACATTGATTTGTTTGCCTTGCCTTTCCTTCTTAGTTTATCAAAAACTAGAAGCCATTCAGTTACAATCACCTAATTATTTTCTGAAGGCTTTTATGTTACTTCACCAGAGCCATCTCTACAGGTGGAGTCCCTGGGTGGCGTAAACAGTTAACACACTCAACTGCTAACCAAAACATCAGAGGTTCGAATCCACCCAGAGGTGCCTTGGAAGAAAGGATGGGAGATCTACTGCTGAAAAATCAGCCACTGAAAGCCCTATAGAGCATAGTTCTACTCTGACACACAGCGGGTCACCATGCATCGAAACCGACTCAATGACAATTAGTTTGGTTTTGGTTTACATGTATTCTTCACAGTCACTGGGTCACTAGTATGTATGTATGTACGTGTGTATGTGTACATATATATACTTTTCAATTAGCATTTAGGAAATTGTCTACCATGAGTTATGACGATATGCCAGCTTTCACATATATGATGCACAAGCAACAACTCCAGAACCAGGTATAATTATTGAATGTTCTTCAAATAAATACATAAAGCAGGGAGAACGGAGAGCCTTAAGTATGCATTAAGAGGTAGTAGATGAGGGTAAGGTGGGAACTACTTATATTATTTTCTAAATAAAGTGCTTACTTGGATTTTACATTCCACAACTGCAGGCTTCCTTGTTCACTGCCGAGAAGTATTTTATTTAAGTAGGTACTTGGATGCAAAATTGCAGAAATCCTAAATACTGATTTATCGAAAGTCAATTGCAGGTATTCTTCTACAAAAGTGAAAGTTATAACATATAATTATTTCTTATAAAATCGTTCAGAATATTTCTCATATACTCATTTTTTATCACTTACAGAAGTCTACCATATCAAAGATTTACATCCTAATATAAATTAAAATTCCTATACTAATCTGTAAAACATTCCTTGAGGAATTGAATAAATGTGATGAAGGGCAACCTGTAAATCTAACTTGGACTGTTAAAAATTTTCTGAAAGTTCTAATATAAATGCTATTAAAAATTTCATTCACTGCAAAATTCGTTTACATAAAAGAAAAATAAGGATTAAAAAAAATAATAATCCTAGAGGTCAGCTTTATTATTTTAAAAATTTGCTCAAGAGGCAGAGCGCATGCTCCAAGTGAAACGCTTAAACTGAGCTTTTCCAGGGAGTGAAAAGCCAAATACTTGGAAAGCTTTACAAGCCATTCAAGGATACAGAGTAAGGATATAAAAAGTAAGAGGCGACTTCAATGAAACTAAGAACAGTGTTTCTTACACATTCCCAAAGAACCTCTAATAGAAAAGGAAAAGAGTTTATAACCTTATGGAGTCGAGGAAGACACAGCCAGTTGTCACTCGCTGTAAGAGTGAAAAATTCTTTGAAATCTTACATGTTATCTTTAAAATTCCTGTGTGAATTTTGTTTTCTACTTCATAGTGCATCCATGATTAAAACAATCTCACCCCAAATCTCTCAATAAATTTGAGTATCAAAGAAAATATACTTCATTTAACCTTTGGTTTTTACATTTTCTGGCACATTGCTGCATACCCTCAAGGGTATCGGTATTCCAGTTCAAAAAACATAGATATAAGTGAAAATTACACAAGCTTTACTTTAAACGTATTCCAAAAGATCCTCCTCTCTATGTGTAACTAGCTGTTTTATTTAAAGTCCCTATAACAGCTCCCTGAAGACACTGGTTCAATGTGCTGTCATCAGCAGAAAGCCTATTGGACTGGAAGAACTGTATTCTGTAACCTTAGAAAAGGCCATTTAACATCTATCCACACAGGGAACACATCTGGAATTCTGTTCACTATTCTTGAACAAAGGCAAAACAAGGAAGAATGACTAATTTGAACAAGGACACAGAGTAACTCCTAGAATGGCAGTCTCTATGACTTTCACTAAAAATAAAATTATGGAATCAATCATGAGTTACTCAAGAGGTGATATAAGCTAAAAATGTAAACAGATAAATTTAAAAGCTTTAATTCATGCCAGATCCTTATTAAGAAAACTAGGGATGTTCTGGTAATAAACTCCTAACTTGAAGATCCACAGTCCTATAAACATATCCCAGTGAATGGAAAGTGAAAGGACACTGGCTCATGTTCTCAGAAAAAGGCTGTGTGTTTTATTTTAGATTACAGAATCTTTATGTTTACGATTATAATTTCCTTTACTGTAAACTGAAAACGCCAGTCAAGAATTACTCAGGTATAAACATGTATCAACATTCCCTCCACAGAGAAAAGTCATCAAACATGGGAGAAGTGCAATGGAAAATGTATTAGTTGAAATAAACACGAGTAGTTAGCTCAACTAGCTGACTAAAATTGCCTATTTCCTACTTAGAACGTTTTTTCTCATACGTTTTAAGATTCTATCAAAAAAAATTATTATTTTTTAACTGTTTACATGTGAAATCTCTTGTTCACATATACCCATATGTGAACCCAAATTTCATCTACCCGTATACTGTCCAAACATACAGCAAATAAAGTACGCAATTCTTACCTTCTGAATATATATGCCAAATAATAAGAACACTGTCGGTATCAGCAGAAATAATGTGATCCCCAAACGGCTGCAAAAGGTGGATTTCTGCCTTATGACCAGTAAAGGTATGTACTATCTACAAATTAAAGTTGAGAAGTTTCATATTATTACTCATTCACCATGTAATACCATTCATAATAGCTTAAAAGCATGGTGATTCTGTAGATGCTAGTACTTAGAAATGCAGTCAACTTTTGATCACCCAAGGTTTGGTTAATAAATACAAAGAAAGCAGGCATGTTCACCTGCCCCTCAACCAGTTCAACAATAAGGTCTGTGTGATTGCCCCTGCCAACATCTCCCCCACTTGTGCCAACTTTACTCCTCCTGCCCTGCCCTTCTTCCCCTACACTGAGCCTTCTAAGTTTTTTCACCCCCCTAGGCCTTTGCAAAGGAGCCTTGGTGGCTCAGTGGTTACCAGCCATGTTAATCTGCTCCCTCAACCTCTGAGGCTCAACCACTTCCCACCTGAGGTTAGTGAGGGGGCATGCACCCTCACCCAATTCAGCCAGTGCAATTCCACACATCCTGGAGAAGTGGTTTGCTCTAGGAGGCTGACCTCTACAGACTGCCTCACTAGCAGCTTCCCTACCAGCTGGCTTCCAGATAAGATGGGAGGGGGATGTTGGGACACTTCTTCCCTACACCCTTCTGCTTTGAGGCAGAGACCCTTACCCATAGAGCAGCTGCATCCTTCCAGAGCTACAGCCCCTTCTCCACGGATTCAGTTCTCCCCAGGCTCCAATAACACCATTTCTTCTCCTTGCCCCTTGGCCCTAGGAGTAGTAACAGCTTCTCACAGCAGATAGTCTGATGTCTCCCCACTTCTACTGTGTTCCCCTACCCTGATCACACCTGTCACAAAACACTGTTCCTGCATTAAAATCTCCTCACCTGAACAATCTGGGGCACATTCTATCTCCTGTCAGGATCATATTACAAGGCAGGACTAAGAACTGGTTTTCTGATGTTTTTCTACTATGTTGAAAAATCTAAATAGCCCAGGGAAAACTGCAATATTTGGCTAAAACACTGAAAACATTTTTCCCGACTCTCTAAAAAGTCAAACACTGACACTTCAGAATTCCACAGATAAGTTACCTTCCTCTGCCATAAGCAGTGATGATAGAGGGCTCTGAGAACAAACCTTAGTCCAAGTCAAACTCTGATAAGTACAGTGATGGCACCACTTGGCTAGCTAGGCATCCCCACTGTCACTTCCTCTTTCACTCTGGACCACTATAACCGGGCCATCTCCCAGTTATCTGTCCCAGAACAAACTTAAGGACCAAGTGGTAGATTCAGAACACAAGAGTCTTCCTTAGCAGTGGAGAAAATAAGAGATTCTAGTTTTCTTCATGTAGGCAGCAAACACCAGGTGCTTAGAAAAAAGAGTCATGAGCAGAGCTGTTCAGAAAGGAGCAAATCCACATTAAGCACTGGTGCAAATATGAACCTGGTAGGAAGTTTTTTCAAAAGACCAAGTCTAAATCCTACCCTACCAAATCTATAAAGTAAAAAGCTCCAAGAGGTAAGACCTGACTGGGCATGAAAATTTTGAAGAAGCAGTCCAACTAATTCTGACATTTACCCTGGTAAAGAAAACTGAAATTGAACTGAAGTTTTTAACTATGTCTTTTTGAGAATTTGATAAAATCAATGTTCTTTCCCTCCAGAAAACTGAATACACATAAAAACAACTCTGTAGAGTTTAAGAGTCCCAGATGAAGTACAGCAATATTAAAGTTTCCTCCACTATCATGACAATCAACTATTGACTGCATAAGACAAACAAATTAAAATAGTTTAGTAATACAAACCTCTTTATTACGGGCAAATGCAGAGAAAACATTCCCATATGCAGCAAAGACTAGCCTCCCATCAGCTGCCATACAGCAGATATCCTGTGGAACAGAGTTACCTACAAGAAAAGAAACATAAAAATAAAAGAAGGATTTTTAAGACCTTGGGACAAAACAGAAACCTTAAGTATGCATATAGCATTTTTCATGGCTATAATTTAAAAAAAAAGTACACAAATAAAAATGAAAGCTGAGGATCAGAGTCCAGAAATTTCATCTCAATGTAATATCAATTTTCATTCAGTTCAAAATCTGTTTTAATTTCTCTTGAGATGTCTTCTTTGACTCATGTGTTATTCAGAAGTGTCACTTAATCTCCAACTCTTTTGGGATTTTCTAGTTATCTGTTATTGATTTCTAGGTTAATACCATTGTGGTCTGAGTGCATTCCTTGCATGATTCATATTCTTTTAAATTTGTTAAGGTGTGTTTTATGGTCCAGGATGTGGTCTACCTTGGTGAATGTTTCATGTGAGCTTGAGACACGAGTGTATTCTGTTGTTGGATAAAGTATTCTATACATGTTAATTAGATCCAGTTGATAGATGGTGCTCTTCAGTTCAACTATATCATTCCTGATCTTCTGTCCCAATATCATTTAGCTATCAGACTGAGACTATGAAATCACCTTTACCTTTCCTAGGAGAATAAATGTTTAGTATTTATAGGCTTAAAAACATAATCCTAAAGAAATGAAGCTTTTTGAGGATAGTTGGAAAAATAACCTCACATTAATCACAAAACTCTGGCAGATGGTCATCCAGCCTTCACGTGAACACCTTCAGGAACATCAAGCTCAGTACCAACTCCAAAAAAAAAATCTTAAAAATAAATCAATACCTAAATCTCTGTGTAACTTCCCTTTGGACCAACCTAAAATAACTCCATATGGTATTCTACATGACAACCCTTAAAATAATTGAAGACAGTGAGTATGCTTTCCTCTCAGTCGTCTCCAAGATAAATATGCCCATCACCTATAGCCATTTCTCACATGACATAATTTCTTGATTCTTCTCTCACTACTTGGTCATACTGGCCTTTTTTAAAATTTCCTTTAGAGGGAGTGGAAGATAAAGATTGTCTTAGCATTTTTCACATTATACATTCCTTTTTTGATTCAGTCTGTACAATACTATTTTTATAGGTTTATCATTCACTTATGTATTTAACTCATGTTACACTGTCTTTCTTCTGCCTTCTAATCTTCAAAAATGCGAGTTTATTAGACATGCACACTGGGTTCCTTATATGTCTCCTCTGTTTCGCTTACAACGATCACATCTGATGGCAGTGGGTGAAACTTTGAAGAGTAATAGGATAATTACATAGACGTAATGTACCTTGCTACAGGATACTTAATTTCAAAGGTAAAATAGTAACTTTAAAGTAACAGATGTCACCTAAACCAAATAACTGAAGCTATTACTGCCAGGAAAAAGGAGAACCAGCAGCATGTGCATCCGGATATAATGTACTGAGAACTCAGCATCAATTCTGTGTTATTCCTAGCAAAAGTGCATAACCTAACACTAACATCAAAAAAACACAAACTGAAGGACATTCTAAAAAAGAACTAGCCTGTATTCTTCAAAAGTGTCAATGTGTGAACTACAAAGAAAGTATGAAGAACTGTTCTAGATTAAAGGAGACTAGCCCTAGTAGCACAGTGGTTAAGGCACTAAGCTGCTAACCAAAAGGTCAGCAGTTTGAACCCACCAGTTGCTCTTTGACAGAAAGATGTAGCAGTCTGCCTCTGTAAAGATTAGAGCCTTGGAAACCCTATGGGGCGGTTCTACTCTGTCCCATAGGGTCGCTATGAGTTGGAACCAACTCACTGACAGTGGGTTTGGTTTTTTGGAAAGAGACATGACAACTGAATGTAACACATGACTTTGGACTTTCTTTTGCTATAAAGGACATTATCGGGACAACTGGCAAAATCTGAACAGTTTACATATTAAAGTATTCCATCAAGGTTAAGTCCCTCATTTTGATAACTTTACTATATTTATATAAGGAAATTCATTGTCCTTGGGAAATATTCATTCAAGTATTTAGGGGCAAAGGGATATCATATCTGCAACTTACTCATAAATGATTCAGAAAAAACTAGTATGTGTGTAGGTGTTTAAAGAGAGGCAGGAAGAAGGAAGCAAGTGTAGTAAAATGTAAACATTTGGGGAATCTGGGTAAACAGTATAAAGGGAATCTGTATTATTCTTGCAACTTTGCTGTAAATCTTAAATTTATGTCAAAATAAAACATTTCTTAAAACGGAAAAGACACTAAACACGCATAAATGCAGAATAAATTCCACACTTACTTACTGCGACCAGACTAAGTTTCTGAACCTGTTTAAAAAAAAAAAAAAAAAAAAGGTTAAGTAAACTTTCATGAACAAAAACAGTAACAACCTAATACTTTAAGATTAAACCTTATACACAAATTAGCCGTACGGGTCTTCCTAAAAAAAGACACTACTGATCCTAATTTTCATTATTACGAAACCTTCTATTTTCAATTATTTCATGAACAACAGTAATGGAAGGGGTAGACAAACTTTTTCTATAAAGGCCAGACAGTAAATATTTTAGGCTTTGTGGACCATGAAATCTCTGTTTCAACTACTCCACTCTGCCATTGTAGCAAGAAAGCAGCAACAGACAATACATAATGAAAGTGCATGGCTAGCTGTGTTCCAATAAAACTTAACTGACTTTTTCATATAATTTTCTCATGTCACGAAACACTACTCTTCTGATTTTTTTCCTAACCTTTTAAAGATGTACCTCATGGCTCATACAAAACAAGCAGTGGGTGAACTGGCTCAAAGGTTTTATTTTGCTGACCCCAATCTATGGTTACTGCTCTAGCTGTGTTACCTAGGGAAAGTTACTTTACCTCCCTGTGCCTCTAATTCCTCATCTGTAAAACACAGAAATCAAAATAGGTATCTACTTTATGGGATTGTTGTGAGCAATCAATGAGAATATTCATGTAAACCACTTAGAGCTGCATCAGCCAAAAAATAATAAATGCTCAATAAATGTTAACTGCTATCACCACCATCATCAGCTATCTACAACTTGCCTAGTTTCCCCTATAGAAAATGCTAATCTGTAGGAAGGTTTGTTGAGGATGCTGTAATAGCCATGGCCATGAGATAGAGCACTTGAGGACCAAACTAGTGACTTGAGCTTATTAGTGCCATTTTTCTACTCCCAGGTTAGTTTCAGTTTCAAAGGTCAGAGCCCAGCGCATTGAGTTGTCCCAGTGTATGGAGCCCTTGGGAAATACGCACTTACGTGCTATGATGTGATGATTAGAGTAAATTTTAAAAATGCACCACTAGTGTTAAAACTATAGGGGACCTTAAAAGCACCTTTATTTTAATGACTAAATTTCAATGCATAGATAATTGTTAAGTTTAAATATGTTTGTGTAACTTATCAGGAAAGACACTGCTGAAAAGATTTCAAGACCTCTTTAAGTAAAGCAATTATACAAGCTGCATTCCAGGGAAGAAACTGATCAGCAAAACCAAAAGTAACTTAGCAAGACAGAAATAAGTGGGGAGAATGGTATAGTAAATACCCTCAAATGATTAATCACTCTTACGCATCCTTTCTCCATCAGCAAGCCAGGCTCTGGGAAGCCCAACTGCTCTCCACATCATCTGCTTTTCTTCTTCCAAGAACGCAACCCTCTCTCAACTGTCAGCATTTTATTTTCACAAAGCTTCAAAAAAGCCAACTCTACAACATAGTGCCCAGGAAAGTGTTTCATTAACACTGGCTATCACCATCCTCCTCCTCAAGCGTTCTTACTCTCACAGAGCTTATATCCTCTTGGAGAAGAAACAAGTAAACAACAGGCTACTTTAATGACTGAGGAAATATTAAAGGAGAAAAGCCACCAATTTCACGAAGCTGGGCCTTAAGCCAGTAACTTAACTGTTCTGAGATTTAGTTTCCCAATGTATTTCATGGTGCTACAGAGCAGCAATACCTACTAGAAATTGCTGCAAGGCTTAAAGTGGCACCGTGCCAGACACTCAATGTTGGTAGAAAACAGATTCTCAAGGGAAGTTTAGATAAATAAATTGGATTGCTATCAAATACGGAGAGTTCCCTAAATCATAATTAATCTCGCCCTCCCCAGTTATCTCAACATATTTAGTCTGAATTTCTAACCCAGTTTCTATCACAAACTGCACAATAAAATTGCTTGCAAGTTTTTCTCTCATTAAGAATGCGGGTGTAAGGGGGCTTGTCTTAATCACGTTTACATCTTCAAGGGAAGGCGGTCAATAAATAATTACTTAACGTATATATTGCCGTGGGACTGAAATGTCCTTGTACCTTCCCCTTAGCCAGGCTGCCTCCGAAACTCGCCCCACGTGGACTGCAAGAGCAGCACGTGGATGTGAAAGGTAAGGCTAATTAGCGCAGGAAGGGTTAAGGAGAAGAAAAGCAGGAAGGGAAGCCCTAGGTTAGTGGAAGGAGGAGAAAGCCGAAATACCCCCAGGACGGAGCTGAAGGCCGAGGGCCGGCGATGGAAGGAGTCACTCACATCATAGGTGTGGAAGCTCTTGCCCACGCAGGTCGTCACGTAGAACCGGCGCTTCAGTGCGCTGAACCGCACCACGTGTGGAATGTCGTTGCTGAAAAGCCCCAAGACCCGGAACCCCGCGAATAGCGCACTAGCCGTGCGGCCTTCCGCACTCTGCTCCATTGCCGCCACTGTCCCGGCTCCTTTCGGTTCCGGTCCTGCTGGAAACCGCGAACCCCGACCCGTCCGCGGGTCTCGCGGCTGAATTCTTGCCGGAGACTCAAGAGCACTTCCGGTGCCGGCTGCCAATCGCGTAGGGCAGAGCTTGTTCTCAGTGCAACTGAAAAAGAGATCCCTGGAGATCGCAGGAGAAGCATGACTTAGGTTCTCCAGAACAAAGTCCCCAGCGCGTTGCCTTGCCCTGCTCCCCAGCTCTGATTTGGCTGGTGGAAACTCTGGCCGCTTTCAGCAGAGGACCTGGGAACAGGGAGCGGCGAGGAAGCGCGACTCTCTGAGAAGAGAGGGGAGAGACCGACGTTTTAACGCAAGATTGAATTAGGTTAAACGTGTGATTGCAGCTGTATAAAAACTTGACTTTAGGGAAATTTTGAACACTTACTATTTTATATTAAGAAATTATGGTTTATTTTGTTATATGTGGTAGTAGTATTGTGACTTTTTAATCCTTATTTTTTGAAGTTAAACATTTTGACATATTTACCGATGAAATATGATGTCTGAAGGTATGCTTCAAAATAGTTGGGAATGGGGTATAAATGAAATGAAACAAGATTAATAATGATTGAAGCTGGGGAATGGGTATGTGAGGGATCATGATACCATCCTTACACTTCCGTATACGATTGAAAATTTCCGTAATGGAAAGTTTTTTGTTTTTGTTTTTTGCTTGTTTCTGTTCTTTACTGATTTTGTTTGTAGTAAAGAAAAAAAAAGGAATATTAACGGATTATTAATTTTTTACCTGAGTTATGGAAATATGTAAAATGATTTCAATTACCAGATTGTGTTCTTAGGAGTTTTCTAAATTGTGTATAATGCAGGTATTGCTTTTATAATTAGAAAGACTCTTGAAAATGTTGGCGGATTTGGGGGAGGGAATGAAAAAGTTTCTTGACTAGGACTTTACAAGGCTTCTGACACCCATTATTTTAATATAATTCTCAAAATAAAGCTGTGAGATAGTTAGGGAAAATATTATAATTGCTGTTTTACAAATGAGTAAACTGTTCCAAAATTCAAAAATAGTGCCAAAATCCAGACTAGCACAAGGTTTAGAAAAGGGAGAGACGGGGAGATTACTGAAGGGCAACTGGAGGATGGGGGGAATGTGGATTCAGCAATCATGTTTTCAAGACCAAACATTTAGATCACACGGTGGATGTGGGTTCACATTAGATAAGGAACCTGAAATTCCCAGAGGTTAGCTAATTGTTCATGTTCACTAATTAATAGCAGTTCAGCAACTTGAATTTAGACTTGGGTCACAGATATGTGTTCTTTGATCTATACGTGGACTGGGGGACATAAGTTTACAAATTAGAATTGTCTTAGAAAATCTAGAAGTATGGTAGCAGTAGATTTCCATGTCAGCTGTTGTGCTGTGATCTGATGAAGGAAGGGTGTCATGAGCTGATAATGAGCTTTTAATTTTTAGCAGTTGGCCAGAGCTCACTTATTCCCCCACCTGTTGCCTTCCTGAGTTACTTGCTATTCATCTGTCAGTAAAATGTGTGACTATGTGATAGAGGGAAAGGAACTACCTATAGGGTCGCTATGAGTCGAAATCAACTTGACAGCAGCAGGTTTTTGGTATCACCCTTTTCACTTAGAGATGGCCCCAAGAACACTGATACCAAGTTAGAATAAAAGAAGAGGAATACTAATGTCTACGTGGATGTAGTAGATCATTAATAAATGATCATAGATTCAATGCCTTATTTAGGTAAATAAAATACATGACGATGTCATGTTTGTTGTCATTTCTAAGGCAGTGCTTTTTTAAAAAAAGGCTAACTAAGACTGCTTCTGAGTAGTTTATATAATAGTTTCATTTTGGTACTGGCTTTGTGTATTGTTATAGCCAGCCTCCAAGATCCTGCATTGATTCTTGTCTTTTGGTATTCTTACCCTTGTATCTGCCCTCTCACATTGATGGGGTTGACCTCTGTAACCAGACTAGGTCATAAAAGTCATTGAGGCTTCCAACTTATTCTCTTTTGGATCACTTGCTCTGGGGGCAGCTAACTGCCATGTTGTAAGGATTCTCAGGCATCCCTATGGAGTGGTTCACACGGTGAGGAACCGAGGCCTCCTGCCAACTGCCAGCACTAGCTTGCCAGTCATGTGAGTCAGCCATCTTGGAAGCATAGCCTCTAGGCCCAGTCAAGCCTTCAGATGACTGCAGCCCTGGCCAGTATCTTGACTGCATCCTTGTGAGACACTCCAAGCCACAGTCACTCTACTAAGCCACTCCTGAATTCCTGAGTCTCAGAAACTTTAAGATAAGTAATGTTTATTGCTATTTTAGGTCACTAAGTTTTGGGGTAATTTGTTACACAATAATAGATTACAAATGTATCTATGCTTATTTTTCTAATCAGATTTATAAATGCTTGTATTAACAGAAACATGTCAGAAACCCAAAGAAGTTTCAAGATCTTCCTAGTTCAATTTCTCATTTCATAGATGAATGAACAGTGTTAAAAAATAATCAAAGCACAAATATATTAAAGTGTATTGGGCTTTATTTGAGCAGTTATTCTACATACATGTAGGGAGACCATTTTTCTAAAAAAATAGCTAAATGCAAGCTATTTACAATGAGGCTTTTATATTTTAATGTATTGCTAGTGATTATACATTGTCATGGAAACAGGGCCAGAATAGAGTTTATAAAATAGCTTGTAAACATGCAGGATTCCATACATTTTCTTGAAGAACAATACAAATAATTACTGACTGACTTTAAAGCATACCTTCTAGTCTGACCTTTGAGTTTGCTATCCTCAAAGTGACTGCACATAGATAATTTTAAAAAGAGCACAATGCTCAAGGCAAACATTCTTTACTAATTAAGCTAAACTGTTGCTTGACTTAAAAATGACATTTGGGAAACCAGTTATGGCTCAAGGTTTAAGTTTCAAAGTTTACCTCCGGGCAGCGGTTTCCTGTGGTTCATTTTAACCTCAATGGCTCCAGAAAGTCTGAATTCCATGGGAATTAAAAATTCTGTTCCTCAATTAGGTAGTAGAAAAACAGGTATGTATATGACTTCTTACTCACCCAAGGACTCTTTCCATCTAGGGAAGGTGTTCTCTCTGGCTTCTGTATTTTTCCTCTAGTTGTTTTTGCTAGGTTGTTAGGTGCCGTCGACTCTGTTCCGATTCATAGCGACCCTGCGTACAACAGAATGAAACACTGCCCAGTCCTGTGCCATCCTCACAATTGTTGTTATGCTTGAGCCCATTGTTGCAGACACTGTGTCAATCCATCTCATTGAGGGTCTTCCTCTTTTTTGCTGACCCTCCACTTTACCAAGCATGATATCCTCCATGGACTGATCCCTCCTGATAACATGTTCAAAGTATGTGAGACAAAGTCTCGCCGTCCTTGCTTCTGAGGAACATTCTGGCTGTACTTCTTTCAAGACAGATTTGTTTGTTCTTTTGGCAGTTCATGGTATGGTATATTCAGTATTCTTCACCAACGCCATAATTCAAAGGCATTGGTTCTTCGGTCTTCCTTATCCATTGTCCAGTTTTGCATGCATATGGGAAGACTGAAAATACCATGGCTTGGGTCAGGCGCACCTTAATCTTCAAGATGACATCTTTGCTTTTTAACACTTTAAAGAGATCTTTTGCACCAGATTTGTCCAATGCAATCGTTGTTTGATTTCTTGACTGCTCCTTCCGTAGGTACTGATTGTGGATCCAAGTAAAACGAAATCCTTGACAACTTCAGTCTTTTCTCCATTTATCATGATTTTGCTTATTAGTTCAGTTGTGAGGATTTTTGTTTTCTTTATGTTGAGATAAAATCCATACTGAAGGCTCTAGTCTTTGATCTTCATCAGTAAGTGCTTCAAGTCTTCTTCACTTACAGCAAGCAAGGCTGTGTCAACTGTATATCGCAGGTTGTTAATGAGTGTTCCTCCAATCCTGATGCCCCGTTCTTCTTCATATAGTCCAGCTTCTCAGATTATTTGCTCAGCATACAGATTGAATAAGTATGGTGAAAGGATACAACCCTGACGTACACTTTTCCTGATTTTAAACTATGCAGCATCCCTTTGTTCTATTTGGACAACTGCCTCTTGGTCTATGTACAAGTTCCTCATGAGCACAATGAAGTGTTGTGGAATTCCTATTCTTTGCAATGTTACACATAATTTGTTATGATCCAAACACAGTCGAATGTCTTTGCATAGTTAATAAAACACAGGTAAACATCTTTCTGGTACTCTCTGTTTTCAGCCAGGATCCATCTGACATCAGCAATGATATCCCTGGTTCCACGTCCTCTTTTGAATCTGGCTTGAATTCCTGACAGTTCTCTGTTGATATACTGCTGCAGCTGCTTTTGAATACTCTTCAGCAAAATTTTACTTGTGTGTGATATTAATGATACTGTTCATAGAAAAACGAGTTTCTTGTAAAAATTCTCAGTATGATGTTTTATCAAATCAGAAAATATAGTTTATGATAAAGAATTATCTTTCCTTCCTGCAGGTACAGGGGAGAGGAGCCCCTTCATTTCTTTCTAAGCCTCCTTTTGGTAATTTAAAAATTGCATTTTAAGGCCAGATGTTGAGATTCCATTAGTTAGCATTAGAAGGACAAAACTGGTCCATAGAGTTCAATTTCACTGGCAGAAGTGGAGAAAGAGTTGAATAGGAATTGTCTTTTTCTTTTTTTTGCTTTCTAGTAAAAATGCAGCATTAATACTACTTAGAGAAAACTAAAAATTTTCTTTGCAGTTGGGATGCTTTTTCACACCAGACACTCAGTTGAGAATAGGGCAGATGTGGCACTGAGTTCTGGCTCACAGTGCCTACAAAAGCAAAAACATTTATATCCCCAAAATTTCACTTGAAATGTTAGCCTTCATTCGCTAGCACTATCAATTTAAACTTCAGACCTGGAGAAACTAAAGAAAAACTGTTAACCATTGTCAGCCCTATATTTTAGTATTTTAATTTAAATAAAAATCTACTATCTGTTTTGAAACAGGAGCAATTCATTTTAATAACCCTTCTGTCTTACGCTGGGTTCTCTAGAGAAGCAAAACCAGTAAAGTGTATAAATATACACATATAGAGAGATTTATATCAAGGAAACAGCTCACGTGATTTTAGAGGCTAGAACGTCCCAGGTCCGTGGATCAGGGTAGAGGCCTCTCCCAAGTCACGCTGCCACAGAAGCTGGCAAGCCCAAGATTGGCAGGTCGGAGAGCAGGGCTCCGGCACACAGGCTGTGCAGATCGACAAATCCCAAGTTTGGCAGATAAGCTGACAGCTCAAGTCCCAGGAACTGGAGATGAGGCAACAGGAGGCAGCCTCAGGATCCAGAGAGAGCAAAAAGCCAGAACATCTGCTTGTATTCAGATGCGGGCCACACCCCCAAGGAGACTCCCTTTCGTCTGATTGGCTACTCAACAGTATATTCAATCATGGGAGTGATTACATTAAAGCACTGAGAATCATGGCCCAGCCAAGTTGACACACAATCTTCACCATCACACCTTCATACAATGGCCACTTAAACAACTTAGTTTTTTCTTTTTCTTTCTGCAAGTTTTGAAAGAAAGAAATATTAAATGACAATATAATGCCTAACATTGGGGTCAAGCATAGCCCCAAAAGTTTTAGGTAATTATAGTAACCACTTAATTATGATAGAATTTGTAGTACTATAGTTTTTTTCAATTGTAAGTTGCACGTTTTCCCACATTTTAATTTTTCAGAGCTTGAGATATAGTGTACAATTACATGCTTAATGTAGTTTACATTGTTGTTTTAATGTGACTGCTTCTTTGTTTAGTTTACTTGAAGAACTGTCAAATGGATGTTCTACTTTGCAAGGGATTGAGAAAAGGCATGTGTCAAGTGATAACTATCAGATCACGTTTGGTACTTGTTATTTTGCATATCCAGAATGACACATCCATCTTACCCTTTAACTTAGTAAGTGGTTTCAGCAAAACGCCTTGGTCCTCAGTCCAAAGACATTTTAAGGGAGCTTCTCAGCAAAATGTAAGGAAATAAGATGCATTATTCTTCCTCTTCTTTGGATTACGG